ATTAGCAAGGAGCAACAATATAATAGTTGACCATAGTAGGTCCTTTAAATGATTTTGAAACATGGGAGAATGGGCATTGCAATTTCTTCGCTCTCTTGTGATACGATATAGAGCTTGGAAAATTTGTGGGAAGGAAATTAAGACATAATCACAATTTTGATTTGGAATCACATTTTTGCATTTGTTAGTTCTACATGGAGAGGAATGTTGAATGCTCATGTGGTGCACGGTAGATCACCGACGAGCCGCTTGACGATGCCCAGAAGATCACCGACGACACCCGCATCCTCGACAACCATCTGGTGAGTAAAGATGGTCTATTTGGACATGTGATATGTGGAGTAGTGTTGTGTAGTACTAGTGTTGTCCCACATTGATATTTTGGAAATATGATATGATGGATATGTCTACTACAAGTGTATGTGTTTGCACAAGTGCTATCTTCACTTTTATTTTTTGCAGGGAACACCTCCGAGTGGCCTATGTTTTGTCGGAGTGTTGATTCATTTCCGTTCCGGCAAATTTCAGGCGCTCAATATGTCCTATTTTAGCAAAGTCATGCAGGATTTTTCCGTGAATTGTAGCATGACTTGTGCTAGAATATGTAGGAAATATCAAGTGCCCTGGATTTGCCGGAAAGAAAATTAAACGACATTTCGGGTTGACTTTATGTCTATCGGGGCTCTATACATGACGGTCAAAAATCCAGTGAGGGGGAGTGTCCACCATATATGAGAGATGAAGAATGCCGACCGTTGTCGTGGGGGTCGCTTCTTCTTCCCCAGTTGCTAGACACTTTGGTGTAATGTACTTTGGAAAGAAAGGAGGAGCGACCATCACCAACGGTCGATATCTTTGAGCAAGTGTCCACCATATACTGTCGAAATATCAGAGAGGAAGAATCCTGACTATTTTCGTAGGGGTCCTTTCCTCTCCTTCTTCTCATGATATACCTTGGTATTGCACAAGAGAAGGAGGAGAAGCGACCATCACCGACGGTCCAAAAATCAGTGAGGGAGTGTCCACCATATACGGTCAAAAGATGAGAGAGAAAGAATATCGCCTGTTGTCGTGGGGGTCCCTTCTTCTTCATTAGAAGGTGCTAGACATTTTGGTGTAAGGCACTTTCGAATGAAAGTAGGAGCGGCCATCACCAACGGTCGGAAATGTCAGAGAGGAAGAATCCCGACTATTGTCATGGGGGTCACTTCTCCTTCATTCCTGTGTGCTAGACATTTTGGTGTAATGTAATCGGGGATGAAGGCAGTAGCGACCATCACCGACGGTCGAATATATCAGAGAGTGAGTGCCCACCATGTACACCACGCGAGATGAGAGTTTTCAAGGGAAGACTCGATACACCAAAAGTCAACCCGTGGTGAATAGTGATGTGTGTTGAGTTCCTGGTAATTGTCGTCGATTTATAATCTTTGAATTTTGAACATAGGAAACGTCTGACGATGATAGGATTCCCGAGTGCGAATATTGCTGCGATGGCCGGCGTATGTGCGATAGGGAGCCTCACCTGCAAAATTGTAGGTTCTTCACCGTCAAGCTGGAAGAGACATTCGATGTTTGTACGGTATGCAATGACGACAAGTATTTAATTTTAATTAATCATCACTTATGCTTCTTTGCTTCAACGTGTAATTTCTTGGTTTTTCAATTCGACTAGTACATCCTCTGCCATGCAAGACCGCATGTCATGCAAAAGCTCAGCTTCCAAGAGTTTGAGAATATGGAGACGACGAGAGCTCACCTCAGGACCAAACATGGTTATGCTTTTTTGGGTTAAGCTGTATAATGCACTTAATCACTCACATTTTGGTTGCTCTAATTGGGAAGCTTTCTGCAAGGCCTATGGGTTTGAGGAGAATATGCAAATAATGTTCGATATTCATCATGAAGATGGTATTGAAAATAATATCGACATTTGGGTGGATGTGGATATGCCTCCAGTCCTGCCTATATGTGAGTTTGTCAAACAAATTTGTTAAGTAATTTATATTATTTATTTAAATGTTTGGTGTTCATCCGTACTAAAGTTGTCTATTTATAATTTTCAGCTTATTTCTTTTCTTCAAGAAATACTCGGAAGGTTGTAAACAAGACTTACTACAACTATTGCTCCGAGCTTAATTGTGAGGAGAAAGGATATCTTGTCTCATTTATAGATGATGTTGAGACCTTTAAGACCAATCACTTTATCAGCCTAAATTCTAGTGGATATGTGCCAATAGTCCATGAGTTGCATGATGGTAACTTCATTGCCAAAAACTTGGTATGATTTTGTTAATGATGATAACTTCATTGCATACATTCTTCTTAAGTAAACTATATTGCTAATTATATATATGTTAGTATTATGTTGTTCAACAGAATCTCCTGAAGGAGGTTGTGCTTGACATGATACTTACTGATGGTCATATGTATATGGTTAGCTTACGACCATTTCCGTCGACGGCTTACCAAAGTGCATACTCTATTTCTTTGAAAGATGCAAGGATCAATATTAAATAATGTAGCAAACTAATGAATGCATGCACACAACCAATTGGAGACAACTTGAATGTGCGCAAGCCGCAAGTTGACGATAGGTGGATCTCCATTCTCTATTTTGGACCTGGACCGGTTTGCCTGTTTTATACTATTCTACCTGAGAGAGAGGAGTAGGTCCAAGGTAGTAAGAACAATTAGCTAGTGTTGATTATGACTATGATGATGAGGAGGAGTTGTTATTATGATGATGAGTTAGGTGCTACAATGTGTTAGAATGATGAGTTGTTATATGACTCATAGATGAAGATGATGATGAGTTGTTATGATGATGAGGAGTTGTTATATAACTATGATGATGATGAGTTGTTGTTGTTGTTCTTCTTGTTGTTGTCATTATGATGATGATGAGTTCTAATTATGATCATGGTGAGTTATTATATCATTGGGTGAAAGAAACGCGGATTAGTTTCCTAATCCACGTTTGTTTCACCGAATGATATATTAACCCATCATGATCATAATGATATAACAATCTCTAAATTGCTACTGTATGAAAACTTGAATAGCGGTGTATAAATACAGTATAAAACAAAAGAGAAGTGGAATACGGAAGAATAGTAGTAGCGCGGGGTCCCAGCCCATTAGGGTTCAAGTCCTGGTGCTCGCATTTATTCATGGATTTATTTCAGGATTTCTAACGATGCACATTCAGTGGGAGGAGACGTTCCCGTCGACGACGAGGTGCATTTGGTGACTTCGTAAATTTCAATATGATATGCCGGCTCAGTCTTTCGGAGGTGCTCATAGGGTAGGGTGTGCGTGTGCGCGTTCATAAGGGTGAGTGTATGCGCGTGTATATGAGCGATTGTGTCTGTACCGTGTTCGAAAAAAGTAGCGCGGGGTCAGGGCGCACTGCTAGTAATTAGCAGTAGCGCTTGCTGAAACACGTGTTACGTGGACCTAAACAACGGTACTGTTAAAAGTTAGCTGTAACGCTGTAGGAGTAGCACTACTGCTAGTAATTAGCAGTAGCGCTATCACCCGCGCTACTGCTAGGCCTTTATCTCGCGCTACTATTAGGGTTTTCCCTAGTAGTGATATGTGCAAGGCATGGGTGAAAGGAAATAGCCATGAATTAGGATAAGCAGGCTATGAGGAGTAGCCCCACCGATGCAATCCCTTTCAATGTCCTCCATGATTCAGTTGTTTGCTCCTTCCAAGGGAAAGAGAAACAACATGCATTTGGTCGTTTTTGACGAACACGATCTTTTCTCTTCACTTGTCGGGAGCGTACGTGTCGCCCACTAGGCACAGGATTCAATTGATCTGGACATTTGTTTATTACTGCCTCCCAGCCGTGTCGCCGCATCTCCATCATAGCAATCTGGACTTGTCCTAATTGATCCACCCCTGGCTGATCTAAATATCGTTTCCAAGTGCTCTTATTCTACGCTTCTGGCATAGAGTTGGACTCAAATCGCCTGCAGGGCTCCTAGCTTTGTTTTTGTGGCACAAATCTCTAGATCTGGTTTTCCATGTTTCCAATCTAAAATTTCAAAATAACATTGGCAACCAAAGCATTGGAAAACTATTCTTTTGGGAAAAAAGAGATAAGAGAGAATATGTGCCATATGTGCAAAGGATGGGTGAAATGGCCATGGATGGATAAATAGACAAGGTGGAGGTGGAGCCCTCGCCCAAGCAATCCTTATCGATATGATTGAGTTGCTTGCTCCAATCGAAGACAGAGCATTTGGGTTGCTTTCGAGCAACAAGTTGGATGTTTTCGGTTCACTTATCGGGAGCCTACGTGGCGCCCACGAGGCAAGGAGATCATTCAACTGATCTGGCCGTTTCTTTATTACGAGCATGGGCGTGTCGCCGCATCATCATGCCAATCTAGACTTGTGCTCTCCTTTACCTAACATGTATCACCCAAATATTCCTGCCAGCGTCTGTATCTAGGCCAGCTACCCGATTGATCATGGCTGGCTGGCTGGCTGGCTGGGATTTCGGCACCAACCATACACATGCAACTATGCAAGGTGATAATGTAGCAAGCACATGGCCACTTGTCATGATGCATTAGAACCCTTAAATTTATACAGGAGGGTGCAAAAGGGGATTCTTATACTACAGCTCAAAATAAATAATACCTCATGTACGTACTATGCAGTTGACATTTTTCGTAATTGTAATGCAAGTACCCAATAATTGAAGAAGAAGAATAAGAAGATATGATCGACACGAAGGAAGGAGGAAAATGAGAATCAAGTGACTTTGCAATCGACTTTGTAATCAAGGTGAGAAAGGGATGGATGCGGCTACCCGGCCATGAGAAGAGTCGACCATTCTCTCTCTATAAATAGGACACGTAGGTAACACTTATCTCTCACCAATCCACTCCACAGCCCCCGGAGCCAGACCAAGCCTGCATTCCTCAACTCCTTCAACATCATCATCATCATCTTCTTTTTCTCCTCCTCGCACATCCATCATCCATGGGCTCCCTGGGAAGCAGCGACGTCGAGAAGCGACTGGCGGTGGAGAGCGTGAACACGGAGGTGGCATGCGCACTGCTCGCAACCGAGCAGTACGGGTACGTGGACGTCCGCATGTGGGAGGACTTCGACCGGGGCCATGTCGCCGGCGCGCGCAACGTGCCCTACTACCTCTCCGTCAACCCCCACGGCAAGGAGCGCAACCTGGACTTCGTGGACCAGGTCGCCGCGCTCCACTCGAAACAGGACCGGCTCCTCCTCGGCTGCCGCTCCGGGGTGCGGTCCAGGCTCGCCACCGCCGACCTCGTCGCCGCCGTAAGTAGTAGTTCTGCGACTGATTGGTCGAACTCACTGACTTATTGATGTGTGATCAATTTACTGATTTGTTGGTTGGTCTGTGCAGGGGTTCACGAAGGTGAAGAACCTGGAGGGTGGCTACCTCTCCTTGCTCAAGAGCGTCAGTTACCAGCAGCCGGCAGCACTAGCCAACCTTCACAAATTTTCCTTTTGTTTCTAAGGCTCTCAGGAATAAGTTAATTGGTGATCTATGATTGATGATGTACAGAGAAAATTTCCGAGGAAAAGAATGCATTTTGTATGTATAAAAGTATATATGCATCTTCGACTTGGATTTGGTCTTCTTCGAGAATGTATGCACAAGCAAGGGAAAAAATGTTGGCAAGCACAGTTGGCTACATACGGATTTGTTTTACTAAGGAAGCTTATACTGAGTACTTTTCTACCTGTTATTTCCTTCCATACAGCTGTTCAAGTTGAAAGAAATGCATTTTTACACTAGAGAAATTGAGGCATTAACTTTTTATTTTCATCCAACACAACTATTCCAAAATGAGTTACCAGGTGTGTGATTAGGTCGTCTTTGTACGCTGAAGATACAACAATATTTGAGCTAAATTTGTGAACTAATACAAATGGAATATAAATAAGTATAAAATTTGGTATAAACAGGCTCACAGGCAAGTTGTACTTATTTGTATTGATCAAAGGGCCCAATGGGCCAAAACAAAGAAAAAGAAACATAAATAAGTCACGAACCAACGTTCGTACCCCTCGACCCCAACTAAAGCGCCCTGATCGGGGGCGATCCAAACCAATAGTTTAGGTCCCCTGATCGCCAGCGTCATATATAAAGAGGGGGGCAACTAGCCACCACTAGTAGAAAACAGGGCTTTGGTTGAGGCCTAGGTAAGGGTATTAATCAACTAGTGCAGAACCGGCCTTTAGTGCCGATTTGCCAACCGGCACTAAAGAGTGGGGACTAAAGCCCCCCCTCCTTAGTACCGGTTCGTCACGAACCTGCGCTAAAGTGACATCACGTGGCACGAGCCAGATCCGTGTGCGCGTAGGACATTAGTACCGGTTGG